AACCTTGAAATTAGCAAATAATTTAAAAGGCGATGGCAGCAAAACAAGTGACGTCAGTTATAAAAGTGCATTGGCGCTCTAAAACTTTATCGTCAATAATCTTAACTGGAAATCTAGCGGTCAAACAATTCAAAGTCCCGGAGCGAGGCGGTTGAAAACGGAGAGTGAGACTGGAGAGATGGGAAAAATACGCATTTGCGAGTTGCATTATGTTTGGTTTGTTTTAAACAAGATTCCAATCGATAGTATTCGCCTATGCTGCGAAAGAATCCAGTCGTAACGTTTTCGCTGCCGTCTCCTGCTTCGTCATAACGGGCGTATTTAAGTTTTGTCCCTTTTAGAGAGGTTGGACTGAAAATCAACTAAACCCTTCATATATCCTCCCTTGATATTTCTAAACAGAATCTTAACTAGAATACGCTCACATTTGTAGCCGTATTGAGAACTGTTAACATGCTTCTTCATCAAATCAAAGGTCTTCTCATCGCTGACCATGATGGCAATATCCTTCCAAGGGCTGGGACCCCAGTATGGATAGTAATCACGCTCCTCAGGGACCTCATATCCCCTCCTAGTTCCACCTTTATTTTGCCGCGTGTAGATTGGCGTATCACCTGCAAGTTTTTGGTCAGCGGTATACAAACCTGAGGATTAAAATACATTATAAAATTATAGTACACATGAGGATTTCTGCTAGGCACTCGAATTGCTTTCACGTGTCCAGTCTAAAAGAGATTATTTTCATGGTACAAATATTCATAAACCTTTAAATAGACCAATCCGTATCTCAGTCACACTTTCCTTACTAATAATTTTTTTTTTGTATTTTGTAGCCTTGTTACACGTATAATATTTTATTTGTAGTTTGTTTAATTGTTTGTTTCAATAAAAAACAATTTTGGGGTAAATGCGCAGACTACTCTGGCTTTACTGCGGTTTCAAACGGAATAAGGGGAAACTGGGAAAGTTAAGAAGAGACTGGGAGGAATTAGTCAGAGTAGCCTGCGGAAGACTCCTCTTCTCCGCACTCTCCTTCCCTCCCTCTCCCCCTCATCCTTGTTTTTCTTTTCCTTCTTCCCCAGTTTCTTTTCGTTTTCTTTTTTTTCCTTCCCCGACGTTTAAAACGACCATAGAAAAGCCAAAGGAGGAGAACTAGCTTAAAGAGAATTGAACAATATAGCTGAACTGCAATGAATAACGATAATGACGCTGCTGCGTTTCTTGTCTTCTGTTCTATCAAAACTTTAGTAAACCATTTCACAAGAACTAAAAAAATAACAACTATAAAATACGCATTTGTACAGAGTGTACAGTCAAATCACGTTATTAGAGAGCTTTAGATTCGAGGATGAGAACGAGTAAAAGTACGAGATTTTCCCAATACAGTCTGAACTCCCCTTACGGTCACCTCTATAATATGGACACCTCTCTATCACGGACAGTTCGTTTGGTCCCAGAAATGCCAAAAATCATATACATCACCTACCTCTATAACACAGACACCTCTGTAAAGTGGACACTTGGTTCTGTCCCTTTTGGTGTCCGTATTAAAGAGGGTTGAAAATACAAAGTAGTGTGCGCGCGTGAACTAGCGTCATTTTGGCGGGAAAACGAGATAGCCGTCGTCATTCTACAACGGGTTTTAGCGACAATGCAGTAGTGGCGGAAACAAGTAATCAAATATTAGAAGTTTTATCATTTTGGAATCGGGAGAGGGCTGAACCTCCTTCAGTTAAGACAGCAGTGCTAAATTAACTGGTGAGTCAAAAGTACAATAAAGCTTTCCAAGGTGTCTATTTTTTGAGAATACGAGAAAAACTCTTCTGTAAAATCTCGTACTCGTACTCGTGCGATTCATTTTTGCACAAGCAGTAGAACTCCGTTAACTCAAAGCGTCTGAAGGGGAAAAAAAACATTTTGAGTTAGCGAGGGTTCGATCGAGTTATCGGGGTCGATTAAATATTCAATTTACCATGTCAAAGACTGATAGTTTACAGATTTTTTCAGCAATTCAGTACACAGTTAGCACAGTGCAAATTAAACTTGCGTTCTTGTTCAATGATCCGGTACGACCCGTGATATCGGCAAATAACCGTCGAATACGTGATCTGTTCATTGCACTTTAATTTTAAATCTAATTGTTGTAGTGTTTAGTTTTAGTGATTTTCTTTCTGATTACAAGACAAGAAGAGCTAGACAAGCGAGGTCATGAGTTACAAGAGTCATAATTCGACTTATCAGCTGAGGGTAAACTTTTGATCCAGGAAAACGAGATTTAGTTCGAGTTAGCCAGGAATTCGAGTTATCCGAGATCGAGTTAATCGAGTAAAAATGACTGAAGAGCGGGGTCAAATCCAACGAAAATTGGACTTAGTTTGAGTTAGCGGGGAGTTCGAGTTATCCGAGTCATAGGGTCCAGAGGAGTTTCGCGTGAATAAATGAAGTACTTATCTAACGTCTCACCTTGAAAAATGTACATCCTTGTCGCTTAGCACGATTAATTAGCCCAATGGGATCTTCATGAATCTACTGTAAACGATTTTTTCGCTTCTTATCTGACCCAGATCAACGTTGTTGTTCGCCATTTTGAAATTGGTTTGCGGTATATAGATGTGTAACGAAACTGTAACGCGATCAAAATAGTCCATTTTTTTCAGAGGTTTTTGACGGGTTTTGATGTTCTAAAACCAAAAACACATCTCCTCTGGACCCTGTATCCGAGTTCGAGTTATCGGTTTTCAGCTACTGTATATAAATAATGGTTACCTTTGTTTCGCTCTCGGCGGAGGTATGATTGGTAGTAATTGTACGGCTCATGAAGTCCAAGCGTTAGTTTGACATCAGAATTCTCCTTATTATTTTTATTAAATGTTTGGGTACCAGAAGTCCCGCCATTACGAATAGTGTGGTACTCAAACTGTGTGTTGATATTCGTTAAAGGCACCTCTCCGTCAGGGAATTCTTGACACATATACTGTAGAATCACTTGTGACTCGACAAAGTGATCCGCCTTTTTACCGGTCCCGTGTTGGTTTGTCCACATGATGTCGACTTCAGTTGTGGAATCATCACATCCACCCATGTAAAACTCCTGTGAATGAAAACAATGAAGGCATATAAATTTAACTGAATTAACCAACAGATGAGTCGATCATACATTTAAGGGAAACGAAAACATTTGTGATGCTGTTTTAAAAATATGTTCCAGCAGTAAAGAAACTACCAGTAAACAGCAAATGGTATTTGTTGATGTTTCGGATGCTGTTGTTGGTTCGCTTTTGTGTTGTGGTGTGGGTATTGCCAAGTTTCTTCAATCTTTTACACAACGTAATTTGGTGATTGCACCCATGCAGGACACAAAGGAACTACCACAGTAATTTGTCTGCCATCATCTGTTGGAATGACAATAGAGTGTGTTTGCTCCTTATACACTTCATGGTTCTTCATATAGGAACGTCAAGAGAAAGACCAGACTTTCACTTTATATATAGTCCGTCTACTAGGTCTGACTGATAAACCCTAAATTGGCCAAGGCTGGCAAGCAATTAGCCTGCTCTGTCTTCAGATCTTTGCAACATGACAACTACCCTTCCCCCACCTCTCGAAATGTTGTCAGGAACTTATCGATCCGAGAAAATCACAGCACAATTTCAGGTGTAATGCTATCTTTGGTCTTCTTAACTGCACATTTCAGGTTACTGCGGGCTTAACTCCTAGCGATACCTCGGGCTTCAGATAGTTGTTATTGTTTTTGTTTTTTTAGCAAAACGTCAACGAGAGAATGGTTGGACAACCGACAATTTGACTAACGACGTTAAACTCTGACGACAGGCGGATGGAAACGCACCAATGACATTTCGAGTCTGATCAATAACCTGAGTTTTAAATACTATCAACTGAACTGATACAACTTACTTTGACTCTGACCCGGCGTTTCCAATCGATGGAAATAGATGATCGGAAAACCAATCGATAAAATCAATTAATTGGTATCGATTGGTATCGGTCAATCGATGATCAATCGATAACCACACAAAAACAGTTCATCGAGCGCTATCGATTGGCAGCAACCTAACACAGATGTCACGCACGCTACCTGTCCGATCATCCGCCATTTTAAGGAAGCCCTGAGGACGAAATTGGTAAAACAATTCCGATCCAGTCTTCTCAACGCAGATAATATATCCCGTGGCTCCGGTACTCGAATTACCCACTTGCCCCGGCGTTTCCAATCCATGGAAACCGATGATTGGAAAACCAATCGATAATCGGCGCTAATCTTCGCCATCGATTGGTCATCGATTATCAATATCAATCTATTAATTGATATCAATTGGTATTGATTGATATCGATTGTCATCGATGATCGATTTCATCGATTGGAATCGCCAGGACTCTGAAGATGACTTCTTTCACCCGGACGATCATACTCAACCTACTTATGAAATGACTTCTGGGTTCAAACCTTTCACGTAGTTGTTTTAATTAATATTCATTTTTAACTCTATTTATTGGCCCCGCAGGGATTTCGCCCAGAAGGCGAAATCCCGATGAGGCACTCTAGTAACTCGCGCTATATTAAGGAAAGTACTTACAGTTGAAATATACAGTCATACAGTCAATATTGAAAAAATCTCGATTTGCTTGAACAGGGGCGGCGAGGAATCGGTAGGTAATGATGACGTTTCTATTGTTTGCGCCCGCAAGTACGAAATGGTTAAGATGACGTAAAGACAGAACATCCCCAAGGGACTGCTTAGGTAGATTTTGTGACATTTATTGTGCAGTCATACTTCGACACTCTTTTGCCTTACGTGTTATCAGTGAAAGGTATGGACCAAAATTTTAACGACACTCGTTAAGCGCAGAAGAAGTTATAAGGTGCGTATAACTGTGTGTATATAAACACTTGGAGAGTTTGCCAGACACAAGTTCACAAATTTTTCATTGAAAACCTTGCCAGACACTCTTTTTCTCTCTCTTTGACCGGAATAAGACTC